GTCGGCCTGGCGCTTCCTGAATCATCTGGGATCTTCGCAAGGTCATTTCGGCTGATTCTGGCTTGGCAAAGTGAATGGGGATCAGAAATCAAAGACCTCAAAGATGATGGGGACTTGCACCAGAGGGCTTCCGTGGGCTGAGTACACATCCCAGGCACCTGCTAAGATGGCCTTCATGCCCCCCAGGAGAGCAATCCTTTAGGTTTTTATAGCACTTATACTTTTTAAAACCACTTTGATATCCATTATCTTATTTGGAAACCTAGGAGTATTAGAGCTGAAGATGACCGCAAAGAGCAGACTTTATGTTTTTATGAGAGTCTGTAACCCTTAGCCTTACTGAATTCCCTGAGAAGAGAGCTTCTAGAGGAACAAGCTTGTGAACACATCTATGCCTGCTACGTACTCTGGCACTTTCATAGGATTGTCATGGAGTTAGATCCGGAAAATGTCAGGATCACAAGATTACCGATCTAGAACTGGAAAAGACCTTGTTGTTATCCAGTGGTTTTCAGTCATGTCTGATTCTTTGTGACCCTATTTGGGGTTCTCTTGGCAAAGATACTGGAGTAGTTTGCTATTTCTTTCTCCATCTCATTTTGCAGATAAGGAAACTGAGGCAGACAGAGTTAAGTGACTTGTCCACGGTCACATAGCTAGTAAGTGTCTGAGGCCAGATTTGAACTCAGGAGGTTGAGTCTTCCTGGCTGTAGGAAAAGTACTCTATCCACTATACCACGTAGCTGTCCAGAAGGGACCTCCTCTAGTCCAAGCTGTTCATTTTACAGAGGCAATGCCTTGCCCAAGGTCACACTGATAGTACATTCTAGAGAAAGCACTCTAACTGCAGCATTCTTTCTACTGTACCACGCTGACTTGGCTGATGGAAAGGAGAGCCATTTCCTAGCTGAAGCCCCGAAATTCCTGGAGCCTAGAGCCAATGCTCACATAGTATTTGCCATGAATAGGAGCAGACCAGGATGACCCTTGGCATCCATGACCAACGAAGCTGTTGCTTACCACTGTGCTCTGCATCCAGTGCCTGCTCAGCAGGCTGCTTCTACTGATTCTATCTTATTTATTATCCTCTCAACACATCAGTGCTCTGGTTTTAAGCCAGAGATGAAAGGAAATATGGAGCTCAGTGCCTCAGCTTTATAGAGGGCCTTGGCTTTCTTTCCTTTTGCCTTAAAACAGATTCTGCTGCCCAGGCCCTCTGAAATCCATCTGCCGTTTCACAAAAATCGGAAGCTCTTGTGGGTGAATGGTTTTTGGCAGCTCAACCAGGGAAAGGTGCTAGGCAAAGTGATACTAATAAGTAATAGTTTTGATAAACTGCTGTGTTTTTCAAAGCCAGCCTGGGGTACTTCCTGCGAAAGCTCTTTTGAGCTCTGTCTCTGGGAAAGTCAAGATATAAATATGTGTGTGTGTGTGTGTGTGTGTGTGTGTGTCCGTGTGTGTTCAAAAGCCGAAGTGTCTCAGAGCCTCAGACAAGGAGAACAGAATGCAAATCTGTCCCCAAACCTGTTCCACTTTCACAAGTATGTTTCTCCATTTGAGATGTTACCATTTATCTGTGAAAGTAAGAACAGAAATGGGGCACGTACTCTCAAAATACCTCTGTAAGGCATGCTATCTTGTGTAAGGGATATGCATGGGTATTTAGTGCATTGCGGTTGGTTACTGGTTTTTTTTTTTCTTGGACCTGTGACTTCATTACTATAGAGAACACTGGATATAGAGACTCTCTCCATTGATGTAGAGCAACAACTGACCCATAATTTACAGTCGTCGGAAGTTACCCTGGTACCAAGAGTTAAATGACTTGTCTAGGGCCTGACAGCTAGCATGTGTCAGAGGCAGGACCTGAACCAAGGTCTTCCCGACTGAGGCCAGGTCCACTGTCCACTCAGCCAAGTTGCCTTTGTTGTTTTTATCTTCATAATGATCTTCACAACAACCATCTAAGGCAGGTACAGCAATTTAGAACTACTGTTTTGCAGATTAAGAAAGTTATGCTCAGAAGGTGTAAAGTATTTCACTTAGGGTCACACAGTCAGGAGGTATGACTTTTGCCAACTGGTATGTGCCTGCTGGTATGGGTGATGGCTCCACCACGAAAATGAATTCTTCAGAAACAGGGATCATGTATCTTCCTTCCTCAGGACACAGTGAGCATTTGGCATATCTTATTGACTAACTCACAGAGTTTTAGCCCAAACCCAAGTAACCTAATAATGTTTGTCTAACTTGTCTTCAGCAGAAACAAAGAGCTATGTTTTGAAGTTTCATAAGAGGATTGGGTTTGTCAGAAGTCACTCACTAAATCCATCTGCCCATTTGTATTTATGAGATTTCAAGAGCTGGAGTTGTATCTTCCAGTATAACCTTGGAGACAATTGATACTCATAGACTGGAAAATATCCCTGCCTAGGCTCCTGCCTTAAAATACAATATTTCAGGACTCACTTTCTGTTCAGTAGCCTCCTTCCAGAAGATTTTTTGCCAAAGGTACTCATAGTTCTCATTTTACTACCTTGAGTCATGGAATATCAGAGCTAGCAGGTACCACAGAGAACACCGGACTCCCTCATTTTACAGATGACCAACCTAAGACCCAGAGAAGGGAAATTACTTCTTTGATGTCACCTAGGTTAGATAAATGGCAAACCAAAACTCGAACTCAAATCCGCTTACTCTAAATCATTTTTCTTTCCATTGAAAATCCCTGCTGCTCATAAAAATGATTGGCCCTAGTTTAAAAGTAAAGCTAGCTAATAGCAAAGAGAGACAGAACTGGGATATCCTGATTGCCTCATATTGGAGTAATTTTCCCTTTGATTTAGAACTTAATGCAAAACAATAAAAATTATGTTAGAGGTTAAAAGATGGTGGAGACTTGTTTTTCATTTTATCTTTTTTCATGACAGGGAACAAAGTCATACCATACCTTTGGGTCAGAAATCTCATTTGCTTTCAGCTCTGCACTCAAAAAAGAATGGCGAGAGGACTGCGGGACAATGAGAAATGAAGCTCTAGGCATGGGTCCAATGTGCCTTGCAGCATCTCTAGATTTTTGTGCGGTGAAAAGTCGCCCCCCAGAGGGAAAATGGAAGACAGCAGGCAGAATACAGCCCACCCTATAACTAAAAACCACAGCTCAGTGGGTGATGGATGTTAGAGTTTTTCTAGTCTGTTTGTTTCCCAAGCCAGATGATTTTTTCTGACTGGTAAAATAACTGATTTTTCCATCGAGGAGCAGTCTGCCTTCTGAAGCTTCAGCATGGCTGAGAAAACTGAATGGAAATTGAAGAGGAGGTAAGCGTTAATAGTAGGAACTGGACCTTTGCGGGGGACAGGGAGTCGGTTTTTTAAGTGCAGGCGTTTGAAGAAGTAAGGACATATTCCGTGGACTGGAAAAACTTGCAGCATCATCCTGAAGGCTGGTGATGGGAAACACTGATCTAATTAATCCTTTATTACTATTCATTACTCCTTTATTATTTTATTTATATCATATATTTATTTATATTAATTTGTTATTAGCCTGCTTTATTACTGTGTAATCTTGGGCAAGTGACTTAACCTCCCTGGGCCTCCTCATCTGTCAAATGATGTGGGGTGTACGGGAAGACTTCTGTTTTCCCTTCCAGCTTTACATCATTTTGCAGAGAAGGATACCATGACTTAAAGAGATTAAGCAAAATTTTGTTTTCTTTTTAAAAAGAAATTAAGCAAGCTTGCCTAAGATCACATAGCTAATTGGTGACAGCCTGTCTAAAAGCCTGGTATTCCATTCAGTACTTTTCCCACTATACCACTGAGTTGCAAACAACCTTGGGCTTTTTCCTGAAGTGCTAAGGGTCAGTAACCAACTAATTTGGTCATTGGTGTATCCTTTGTGAGCAGAACCATGGAGTTCCACGTTGGACTTTACTACCCCCCCCCACACTTCTAGGTTAGCCAACAGTGGGATCATCCTTCGCCTGTGTTGACTGAGGAGCAGTATGTCCTGTGTATTTTTACATGTCCTGAAATTCCTTAACCCCACCTGAGAGGTCAGGGAGGGTCAAGTTAGCAAAATGGAAAGAGTGCTGGGGCTAGAGTCAGAGTACTTAGGTTCAAATTACATCTCTGACGTTTATTTACTACCTGCGTGACCTTGGGCAAGCCAATTAACTTACCTGGGTATTAATTTCCTCATCTGTAAATTGAGGAGTCTGAGCTAGATGGCCTCTAAAATAATTTCCAGATCTAGATATATGAACCTCTTCCTCCAGAGGCCATGAGGAGAAGGGAGTCCGGATTTCTTCCTATGTCACAATCACCTTAGCATTGGCCTCACTGAATATCCCTGCCTTGGGACTGGCTTGATCTTGACCCAAGTAGCTTGTTCACCCAGGTCTCATCTTACTCTTCTTTTCTTTCTTCTTTTTCTTTCTTTCTTTCTTTCTTTCTTTCTTTCTTTCTTTCTTTCTTTCTTTCTTTCTTTCTTTCTTTCTTTCTTTTCTTTCTTCTTTCTTCTTTTTTTCTTTCTTTCTTTCTTTCTTCTTCTTTTCTTTCTTTCTTCTTTCTTCTTTCTTTCTTTTTCTCTTTCTTTCTTTCTCTGACTCTCTCTCTCTCTCTCTCTCTCTCTCTCTCTCTCTCTCTCTCTCTCTCTCTCTCTCTTTTTAGACAATCAGGGTTAAGTCACTTGCCCAGGGTCACACAGCTAGTGAGTATCATGTATCTGACGCCAGATTTGAACTCAGGTCCTCCTGACTCCAGGGCTGGAACTCCATCCACTGAGCCTCCTAGCTGCCCCTTCATCTTACTCTTGAGGTTCATGAGAAGTGAGCTGGGCTCCATGACCTCCCCAAGAAGCTTTTCTTGATGCTCTGGGGAGCATCATAGAGGATACAGCTGTCTGCTAAAACTCATATAGACACAAGCAAACTTCCCAGTGCACTTTTGAAGGATATCCCTACAGCCTGGAGAAGAATGGGACTAGGGACCCAGTGAACTACTCAAATGCTCACGTTTAATGTGTGGGAGACAAGATGCAGAGGGAATTAGTTAACTCAGCAAGAACATGGAATGCTCATTGCATCCCAAGGGGCCTTTGCAAAGCCCAGCCTGAGATTGGTGCTCACTGGCCCCCTTCCTCTGGGCAATGGTTTCCCTTTCCCATTAGCACCTTCTACAAGTCATTGGGACCATCCTGGTCAGCATAGATGAGGAAGCCGGTGAATAGGCTGTCTGTCCAGTAAGGATCATAGAAGAGTCCATTCTGCTCCGAATAGAAGATCTGCAGCCACACCTCATCTCCCTGCTTCAGGGCTAAGATGGTGGAGCCAGATGCCACATCGTGGTTCCCAGTGTTGGCGTCAAACGTCCGGATCCGGTATTGTCCGTTGTGCACCAGCCCGATGGCCAGATGCTTGTTGGCTAGAGTGATGTCGTAGGTGAAGTAGTAGATGCCAGGAAAGCCGCAGACAAACTTGCCGCTGGACACGTTGTAATGGCCACCTTCATTCATCAGGATCTTGTCAAACTTGATAGGCAGCCTCTCCCTGGGGTAGCTCTTGGTGACAGCCACTGAGAATGCAGACCTGGCCCTGTTAGCACCGCAGGTGCAGGGCCCCGGCATCCCTGTCTCCCCCTTCTTCCCCTTGGGCCCCTTCTTCCCCATGGCACCGTGTTTTCCTGGGGTTCCACTGATTCCCTTGGGACCCCTGGGACCGGCTCGTCCGATAGCCCCCGCTTTGCCCTTTGGTCCTGGCTTCCCTGGGTTCCCTATTCGGCCCCGTGCACCTGGAATACAAAACAGCATGGCATCAGCTTGGAGGTATTCGTTCACTCAGCAACCACACCGTGCCAGTGTGGTACCAGCTGGAATCCTCGTCATAACTAGCATTTCTATGGTGCCTTGTATTATCTTATCTGTTCCTCACAATAACCCTGGGTAGGAGGTGCTCTTTCTGTCCCCACTTTACAGATGAGGAAACTGAGGCATAGAAAGGTGAAGTGACTTGCCTAGAGTCATACAGCCAGTAAATATCTAAGGTCATATTTGAATTCGGGTCCAGTACTTTGTGGTGGCAGAGGATGACCTCTTTTAACCTTCTCATGTCACAGATGAGGAAGCTGAGGCGCAGGGCGGGGAAACAGCTTACCCAATATACTGAGAATGATAGAAAGTACTTTCCCAAAAGTCAATAGAACCTTGGGTTGCCTTCATTTAGGGCACGGGACAAGGAGGGAGTGTCAGGAAACTGAATCTCTGCTTGGAACACTTGAGTATACATAGCATGCAGCAGGTCCCATTTATATAATGTTTTATGCTTTACAGAGCACTTTTCTCACAAAAATCCAGCATTATTGTCACTCCCATTTTATAGATGGAGGCATCTGATTCCAAGATTCCTGCTCTTGTCACTATACTCTGTTGTCTCACATCCGTCCGGTAGTTTGGACTTTTCAAAGAGCCCATCTCTATTTCCTATCTACTTATCTCATTTGATCCTGACAATGTTCATTCAGGGTAGGGCTGGTACCCAAGTGACAACGTGGGGAAACTGAGATGCCTAAAGGTTAAGTGGTATGCTTAAGATCAGCACCGAGTCAGCCTAGATCCAACATTACTTACAGCTAGTGTTCAGCAGTCAACAAGTATTATAAAGGGCCTGTTATGTGCCAGGCACTGTGATAAACACTAAACGTTCTTTTCCCTACATCATACTGCCTCTATGTATAGATGTAAATATTTAAAATTTTATTTTTAGCTAGAGGGAGCTGACATGAATTTTATTTTGAGATCTTCATGACATTCCTTGAGATAAATGCAGACATTCTGAAGTGTTTCGAAGCCAGGACTGGGGATCACTAGTTGGGAATAGTATTCGTACAGTGTTTTGGAAACCTAAAAGCAGCATATAACTGCTCCTATTATTATGATTATGATTATGATTATCATTATTATTATTTTGCCTTCTCCCTTACCTTCTTCTCCAGTCTCGCCCTTTTCTCCATCCTTCCCATCCTGCCCATCTTTGCCTGGAAAGCCCATCCTGCCCACCATTCCTGAAGGTCCTGGGGCTCCTGGGAGGCCAGGAGGACCTTGGGGCCCTGGAATGCTGCAGATGAGCCTTGGGGGGTCATTCTGGAGTTCCCCTTGGGTGAAGGCACTGAGGAGTTGGTTGGCAGCACAGGGGATGGCCCAGGCTAAGAATACCCAGGAAATCATGATGGCTACCTGCAGGGAGGTAAGGGAGCCAGTGAGTTTTGGGTGGTCAGCCAGATTATTAGAAGAAAGAGTTGTCCCTAGGGCATGGCAAACCAGGCATTTCCCCCTAGGATTGGCATTAATGGTAGGTGACTAGGGTGGAGAAGGGAGAGAGCAGAAGGAAAAGGGAGGCACTTAACAGCTGTGGCTGAAGCAATTCACTGAGGCACTTCTCATCTTTCTGTGACTCTTGCCTCCCACAATACCACTGCCTTCTGACGGCAAAACCTGATGCCTATGCCTTTGTTTCCATTAATCCAGGCAGCTCTTAACATGGTGGAATAATGCTTAATGATGACGGATTCTGGCTGTTAGGAAATGAGAGTTCATAGACACTATTGGTAAAAAAGGAAAGTAATACTGGACTTCCCTTTCTCATGGGGTTATTATGAGGATGCAGATAGCACTATGCAAATATAGGGCAAAGAGAGGAGTGATATTAGGGCCAAATGCCCAAAGTGCCTCCTGCCACAGAGCTGACTGTGGGAAGCTTGCCCAGGCTAGAAGGAGAGTCGGGACCTGTGACAATGCCCATCTTAATATCAGTGTCATCACCATTTATATTATCATTTCTGACATCTATGTATTGAATTAAGGTTGGCAAATCGATTTACATACATTATCTCATTTGATCCTCACAATAGCCTTGTGAGGTAGGTCCTGTTATTACCCCTATTTTATAGATGAGGAACCTGGAACTCAGAAGGAGTGAGTGACTTGACCAGGGTCATATGGCTAAGGGAGATTTGAACATAGGTCTTCCTGACTGCAAGTCCAGTGTTCTATATACTACAACACACAATATTTGAAATGAGGGTAGATAGTCTAAGCACTTAGCCACAACATGATTTGACATTTTACCAGGGTTTCCAGTTTATGGTATCTGGCTCTCCTTAGCATTCCTGTCCCTGGCTACCTCTATAGGCTGCTCTTCGGTTCCTAGGTTTCTTTTCTGGGCAGCAGAGGCTACTAATCTAGTAAGACATCAGGCAGATCATTTCCCTTCCAGAACTGACATTCTGCATCATATGTGCCTTTCCCACTTGCCTCTGCGTCTTGCTTTCTGAGCTACTATAGTCTTCCACGTTCCCACCGGGCCCCATTAGCCCAAGCACATTTTTCAGATACTCCTTTCCGTGGTAGGTAGGACTGCATGAGACTTGGAACGGGCCAGAGCTGGCAGCAGCCAATCAGGTCCGTTCCTCAGCCCTCTTTGCTGGGAGCTCCTTGTTTCCCTTTTTCTAGTTCTATCTGGCTCTAGCCGCTTTCTTTTCTCATCCCCTTCACTGTAGGACCTCATCTAGGCCCCCTAACTTTGTCTGGCCAGTTTTGGCTACAGGCTGACTCAGCAACTAAATTTTTGACTGTTGAGAAGGGGAAGGTGGAAAACCAGTTCTTTTCATTCGGCCAAGAGGTATGGGATGAGGGAGAGAAGATCCAAGCAACAGCTATTGCCTTATCCGAACTGAGGCCATCATTTAGTAGGGAAAATGGGTAGGGGGGATGAATTTGGAGTCAAGGGTTTAAATCCTAACTCTGGTATTTATTATGGTTGTGACTTTGGGCTAGACTTGAGACAAGGTGGCATAATATGGAGTGAGCTGGCTTTAGAGTCAGGAGAACCTGGGTTCAAGTCTTTTGACACATATGGGCTGTGCGACCCTGGGTGAGTCACTTCTCAGCAGGGGTCTCCTGGAGTCAGTTCTAACTGCCTTATGAGAGCTTATTGTTAAATTTTCAGTGTGAGCATTTACATCTTAAAACCAACAAACTGCAAACTGTCAAATCAGGGTTTGATTTGGTGTTTTTTGATTGTCTATATTTTAAGAAATGGATGGAGAAAATGTTAATGCTGCAGATTAAAGTTAAAAGTATGTCAGAGATACTCCCCCCACCAAAAAAAAAGCTAATTGTTAAATATTTATCATTCCTCAGTATCCTAGGTTCTAAGACTTTAGAAAAGAGTTTTTGGGGCAGCTAGGTGGAGCAGTGGATAGAGCACCGGCCCTGAAGTCAGGAGGACCTGAGTTCAAATCTGACCTCAGATCAAACACCTGACCTTTACTAGCTGAGTGACCCTGGGCAAGTCACTTAACCCCAATTGCCTAAAACAAAACAAGACAAACAAAAAAAAAACTTTGCAAAGCAGATGCTGACCTGTCTTGGTAGATACAGTTTTCTCTCTGAAAATTCTCTGTACTAATGAAATCAAGTCTACTAAAAAAAAAAAAGACTTTAGCCAAGGGAATTCACCTTTTGGGGCCTCATTTTTCACATCTATAAAAGTGAGGGGGTTGGTTTTGATGACTTCTTTCATAGTCTAAATCTTGCCCTGCCATGTTCTCCTAGACTACAGCAGGTAAAAGAACAAACCCTTGCAGCGGGTCCAGAAGATAGGAACACTGCAACTTACTAGTACTTACTAGAGTTTAAGGAGAGAGGGAGACAGAGACAGAAAGAGAAACAGACAGAGAGAGATAGAGAGAGGAGAAGGGAACACTGAAAAAGAGAAAGCATCTGTTTCAGCTTATTTCTCTTCCTCTCCTCTAATAGTCTCCCCTTTGCTCCTGCTCAAAGAAAGGGCATACTACCTTGTTTAATTAATTACAATTCTGCTGAGACGAGTACCTCATTAACCTCTGTCCTTGTTTCTCATATTTAAGATGCAAAAGAAAGAGCAGGTGTCCTTCCTTCCTTTCCCCCCGCCCCCTACCCCAGCTTGCTGAGTTGTGGTCCTTTACTTTCTGGGAAGGAAAATGGCTGAGGACCATTTTCTTTAAGGGACAGACCAGCAAGTTTTAAAAAAAGGCTAACGATTTGAAAACTAAAAGTCCCAGTAGCACTAGAGGACTCCGGGCGCCAGGTCCAGGGATTGTTTTGGAAATGAAGAGAAAGCTAGAGTTTTCTCCTTAATCTGGACGAGGGGGATAGGAAGGAATGGTCATCTTCAATGCCAGAGTGGCTCTGTCTCCTCAATCCTTCTCTGTACACCTTGTGCTCAAGCCTCTTGAATGTTCTTCCCTCAGGTTCTGCTGTTGGCGAACCCTTCTCTGATGTCCCACACCATGGCTTCTTAGGGTTTTGGACAGCTCCAAGTTCCTGGCACTTCATGGTGGCAAGCCAACTTATGAACATCATTTTGTTTGAATGCTTTTGGGATGCTTATCAATAGAATTAGAACCACAGAATGAAAGGATTTAGGAGGTCATTGATTTTGTCTTTCTGATTTTACAGAAGAGGAAACGAAGGCCCAGAGATAAAAAACGACTAGGTCATGGTAACTGACTGTTGCCTATAATCACCCTAGTAGAATTTAAGCTCTTTAGGCTCTTGGGAGGTGGGGACTTTCTTTTCTTTTCTTTTGGGACTTTATTTCAATTTTGTCTTCATATCCCTAATGCCTAGGAGTTTTGTTTTGTTTTGTTTTCTTTTTTTTAGGCAATTGGGGTAAAGTGACTTGCCCAGGGTCACACAGCTAGTAAGTGTCAAGTGTTTGGTCTGAGGCTGGATTTTGAACTCAGGTCCTCCTGACTTCAGGGCTGGTGTTCTATCCACTGAGCCACCTAGCTGCCCCGTCTTTGTTTCTTTTAAACAAAGAATACTGGATTAGATGATTTCCAAGGTCCCTTTTAGCCCTAAATCCTGTGATCTATGAACTGTTGCTTTCCCAGGGATTAAATTTAGGCTAACTATGTGATTGGTTGTAGTATCCAAACCAGGGCAAATCCCACTTCTTGTCCCCCAAAAGTTTTCTTTCTAAAGATGACAAGGCAGAGGGCTGCTGACAGTTTGACACCCTACCCCAAATAGCTAGTGGTTTTTTTGTTTTTTGGGGGGTTTCTCCTTTTGGCTTTAGTGCTCTCTCTCTCTCTCTCTCTCTCTCTCTCTCTCTCTCTCTCTCTTCTCTCTCTGTCTCTCTCTTTCTTTCTGTGTTGGGACAATGGGGGAGATGTGGGCAGAGCATGGAGGGGTTCTTTACATTCTTCCCACCATGGTGAGAGAAATCCTTGTTTGGTCAAACCCCAGAAACAGAATTGTGGAATCTCAGCTTGGCTAAACTCCCAAGACTTTGGCTTTAAATTTTGCTCTTTTAAGCTTCAAGGGTTACGATCCATAAATAAACTTGGAAGTTCAGAACTTAAAGAAATCAAACTATGAATTATATTTTTGGGGGTGGGGCTGGGGAATCAGGAAACCTAGACATGAGATTTCATCCATACGGGGAACTCCCTGATGTGGAAACTCCTTCCCCTGATGTAGATCAATAACTCATCTGTAACATTCTCTTTTGTTTTGTTTTGTTTTTTTGGTTAGGCAATGGGGTTAAGTGACTTGCCCAGGGTCACACAGCTAGTAAGTGTTATGTGTCTGAGGCCAGATTTGAACTCAGGTCCTCGTGACTCCAGGGCCGGTGCTCTATCCACTGCACCACCTAGCTGCCCCTGTAATATTCTCTTAAAGAGCTGCCTGGGGGTACTGGGAAGTTGAAGTGATTTGCCCATGGTCATAGAACAGATGTCACAGTCAGGACTGGAATCCAGATCTTCCTGCTTCCTAGGCTTCCCCTCTATACTCTCTACAAAGCTGCCTCCCTGAACCATGGGGTAAAGTTAAGAAGAGCAGGTGCGAATGTGCACTGGTAAATGGAATTTCCTCTCTTAGAGTTCCAAGGAAATCTCACGTCCAAGCCAAAAAATTCTGAATCCAATGAAGGCAATGCCCTAAATCTCTAGGGTCCTTTCCAGCTCTATGAGGCTCTGTCTATATGATTTATCTTTCTCTGGAGAGTAGCCCAGCCCAGAGTATTTGGATTTATTCCTCAAATCCTGGTCCACTAGAATTCGGGAGCCCCACCCCCTTTCTGCAAGCTTGAGAGTCAAATAAATATACACTTAAGGTATTAAGCTTGTGGAATCTCAAGAGAAAGTCCAGGCTGAACCAGTATATGGTTTCAGAAGAGTTTCAGACAAATTCTTGGACAATAGATTGATGATGGATTATTATAGCTAACCAAGATAATTATGATAACTCACATTTCTATATGTGAGTTGGTTTATAAAGTGCCTTTCTCATCTTGTAGGATAAGTGCAGTATCTAGAGTCTGGTCTACAGTCAAGGAGACTCATCTTCCTGAGTTCAAATCTGGCCTCAGACAGTGGGCCCGTTCGCTGGATTGTAGAGTACCTAAAGGACAGCTAGGTGGCTCAGTGGATAGAGTGCTGGCCCTGGAGTCAGGAAGACCTGAGTTCAAATCTGACCTCAAACACTTACTAGCTATGTGACTCTGGGCTAGTCACTTAACCCTGTTTGCCTTAGTTTCCTCATCTGTCAAATGAGCTAGAGAAGGAAATGGTAAACCATTCCAGTATCTCTGCAAAGAAAACCCCAAATGGAGTCAAGAAGATTCAGATATGATTGAAAAATGAGTGAACAAGAATAAGTTGTATCTTGCTCTGTTTATACGTGAAGAAATGGAGGCTCACAGGGCCTCGAGTCAAGGGACTTGCCCATGGCATCTCTGACCTTTGAGATTGAAACCAAGGATGGCAACTTTGCTCTTCCACAACGTGGGCCCTGGGTGACTTTGTCACAAAGTTCTGGCCCAAAGTGACCAAAGGCCTGACCTAGTATGATAATTATTGTGTTCTTACTCTCAGTCAGAGTTTAGATGAATGGATGGTCAGAGGGATAGGACGGGACATGCTTATGTTATAGATGTTGGAATTGATTGAGAAAACCACTTTGATAGGAATAGGAATTCCCTTATGCAGAACACTCCCACACCCTCGTGGAATTCCAAGAAGCAAATTAAAAACAGAGTTCTCTGTTTGGGCCTCCAGTTTTTTGTTTTTGTTGTTGTTTTGTTTTTTTCTTCTCTGAAATGCCAGGAGAAAACAGAGGAGAGATGGGATAATCCTGGGCCCTGACAGCTTGATCATTGCATGTTCCTTATTTTCCACTTCACAAATCCTACTACTCCTTCCTTCAGGAACAGATTTTTAGATAGTCTCTGGCACCAGAGGCCGTAGGTTTTGCCAGTACTAAAATCCACAGGATCTGTTTGCCAAGAAACCAGGGAAAACATGTTGACCTAAGTTGACATTTTACTGGCTAAATATGGGGGAAAAAATAGGTCACTGTGAGAAACCTAATAGCCAGAGCTGTAGGCAGAAATTTTGCACTGATGGGTTCCAGAAGTAATTACAGGACACATCAAAATGTTGGTTATAGGGGAAGCTACTTCGAGCTGGGCCCAGCTGCCTCTAACTGCTCCAGTGTGACCGTGGGTCAGATTCACAGATAGAGAGCTGCAAGGGACCTCACAGGCCATCTAGCCAAACTTTGTTGCCGAAGTCGTTGTTGTTTAAATATAGGAGGAAAGTGAGGCCCCAGGAGGTTAAGTGATTTGAACCAAGTCCTCTGACACCAAAGGTAGTGTTCTTTCCATAGGACACACTCCCTTCTGTGACAGGCTTGCCAAGGTTCCTTAATTTCTCATTTTTTGCCTTTCTTTGTATCCGCAGAACTTAGAATGGTGCTTGGCACACAATAGGTGCATCATAAATGCTTGTTGCCAATCAAATTTGAAATCTCTCTCTAAGCTGTGAGGAACCTACAGATATTTTGGTCTGAAAACTTATCTCAATAGGAATTCCATCTACAACATCCCTGGCAAATGGTCATTCAGCCTCCACTTGAAGATCTCTGGTTTTGGGAAACTCACTCCCTCACGATTCAGCCCGTTCCAGATTTTGTCAGTTCTGATGATTAGGGTTGTTGTTGTTGTTATTATGTTTTGATTCATCCAGTCAAAATCTGCTTCTCTATAATTTCCCCTCATTACTCCTAATTCTGAACACAAACAGCACAAATCTAATTCCTCTGAACCTGGACTTTTGTAACAGCCTGATGGTGGGTCTGCCTGTCCCAAGCCCTTCCCCACTCCAATCCACACTCCATTAAGCCGCTAGAGAGATTGTTCCTAAAGTACAGATCCAGTCATGTCACTGCTAGGGGCCAATAAACTCCAATGGCTCCCTATTGCCTCTAGGATCAAATCCAAGAATCTTTTGTTTGGTGGTCAGATCCTTCCCGCCACTAGCCCTCACCCCCCTTTCCAGTATTCTTACACCTTACTCCCCGACATATGTTCTTTGATCTAGTGATACTGGCCCTCTTTCTCTTCCACAAATGAGACATTCCATCTCTCTGCTCTGGGCTTTTTCTCTGACTATCCCTCAGGCCTGAACATTCTCCCTCCTCATCTCTGCCTTCTTCCTCCTCAGGCTTCCTTTAAGTCTCAACTAAAATGGCATCTTCCACAAGAAGACTTTCCCACTCCCCTCTTAATTCCAGTGCCTTCCTTCTATTAATTACTTCCTATTTATCCTGTATATTGTGTGTTTGTACAAATTGTTTGCTTGTTGTTTCCTCCCTTAGATTGCAAGCTCTTAAGGGCAAGAACTGTCTTTTACCTCTTTTTGTATCTGCAGAGCTTAATACAGTGTTGGGAACACAGCAGGTACTTAATAAATGCTTGTTGACTGACTATTCTGCAGAATAGCTTTTTAATTACTTGAAAATAGCTCTTATGACTTCTTCTCCAGATGAACCATTCCCAGTACAACAGAATTTCTTTTTTTTTGAGGGGAGAGGTTGGCAATGTGGTTAAATGACTTGCCTAGAGTCACACAGCTAGTAAGTGTTATGTGTCTGAGGCTGGATTTGAACTCAGGTCCTCCTGAATCCAGGGCCGGTGCTCTATCCACTGTGCCACCTAGCTGCCCCCATACGATAGAATTTCTTGTAACTGGGGTTGAATTGCCTTACCATCTTGTTTGCCTTCCTTTCGATACAGTCCAGCTTGTCGATGTCCTTCCTAAAATGTTAGAAGTCACAAATAAGGTCAGAGAAATTCAGAGTTGAAAGAGACTTCATAGATCATATATTTTATCAACCCTGAATAGGAACCCCCTTCTATAACATCTCAGATGAGTAGTTATCCAACGACCTCTGCCTAGAAAGGTTAAATGATTTGCCCAAAGTCACATAGTTAGTAAATAGCAGACATGGGATTTGAAGCCAGATTCTACGATCCAAGTTCACCCTGGTGGGGGTGAGGCAATAGTTTTGAAACCGCTCTTTGTACAGGAGGGGCATTTCAGTGCAGTAGAGAGAGAACTGCCCTTGATGGTCAAGTCCAGCCTCTTTCTCATTACTGGCTGTGTGACCCTGGGCAAGTCATCTAACCTTTCAGGTTCCTTGGGAACTTTCTTTTTTTTAAATTCAATTTTATTTTATTTTCAGTCCCAAATTCTCTCCCTCCTCCTCCCTCCCCCAGCCATTGAGAAGGCAAGGAAAATAAAGCCCATTACAAATACGTATAAACATGTAAAACAAATTTCTATATTAGCCATGTTCCAAGGTAAAAAAGCAAAGCAAAGAAAAGAAAATACGCTTCACTCTGCTCTCTGAGTCCTTCAGTTCTCTTTCTGGAAGTGGCTAGCATGTTTCATCATGAATCTTTTGGAACTGGGGTTGATCATTGTGTTGATCAGAGTTCCTCAGTCTTTTAGAGTTGATTATCTTGATAATACTGTTGTCGCTGCTGTTACTGTAGATTTTCCTCTGGGTTCTCCCTACTTCTTTTGCATCATTTCATATAAGCCTTCTCCCTGGGAACTTTCTATGACTATAAGTTGCAGGACAGTTGACCAGTGACAGCTCCCTATAGTGGAGAATCACAGGAAAAAAAAAGCCGATCTGTACTTTACCTGGATTTAGAGGTGGAAGGGACATTAGGGGTCATCTAATTCAACCTCACTGTGAGGGGAGAGAAGCCTTAGGTAGAGAGAAATTGGATTTTGGGGGGTGAAGTAGGGATGGGATGGGATGGGGCAGCAAATTCTAATTTCTCTGGTATATTTGATGTGGTGCTAGGGCATCTGGGTAAAGGAGGATTGTATAAGGTTAGGGTGTGCAAGAAAGGAGGGAGGTCAAAGAGACAAAGTGGTGTTATTGCTTGGTGCTAGCTAAGTAAGCATGCTTACTTAATACTGGGACAGTGAATGAAGACATGGAGAATGGGCAAGAATAGGTTTAGAGAATTATACAGTGGATAACAATAGATGCCATTTTCAATTTCTACTGCTAATTTTGTCCATTAAACCCAATAAACATGCACAATGCTATAATGTTAATATCTTCAATATGAGTTTTACTCTTGGCACATTGCCATTAATAATAATTTTTAAAAAGTCATTAAATGGACAATGATGAAAGTTAGACATGGTTAAAAAATAAAAATAAAAAATGTTTATATATTTTTTAAAAAAGATTCTTGAATCACATTACAAGGAATTTAATAATTCTCCCCCTCAGGATTTGTATTATTACAAAATAATTCAGAACCTGGTTCCTTTAACCAATCATCAGTTAGCAAGTATTTATTGTGTTTGCAATGGGACAGAAACTGTGCTAGATAGACGCTAGGGTTACAAACACTAAAGTGAAACAATCCCTGCCTTCGAGGAATTTACTTTCTCTTGGGAAAGACAACATATACATGTACAAATATGTCCAAAATATGTACAAAAATAATTTGGTTAGGGAAGGCATTAGAAGCTGGGAGGAAGGAAGGGAATCCCAGCTGGGAAGTACCAGGCTTCCAAGTAACAATTTATTTAGGTCATTAACTATTTGCTGACTTTGGCTTGAGAAACTGATAAATACATATAAAATTTTATTTTATTACAGCTAAAAAGCCATACCAAAATAAAATATATCTACAATGTATGTAAATGAAGAGGAAGTGGAAAGAGGAGGTGGAGAAGGGGGGGAGGGGAGTATGGGGGTTGTGGGAGAAGACTTTGAATCTTTTAGCCTGAGGACTGGAAACCTAAGTGGGAGAGAGACCATGAGAGAGGTCAGTTCAACTCTCTCAGTACTCAAATCTAGTTCTTTTCTTTGAGGAGAATGGATTTTTAGAAGCTAGCAAATCTCACTTTGCACAAGTTTTCTGTACCCCAGTTTCCTCCTTTGTAAAATGAAAGAGATGGGCTAAATGATCCCAATTTTCTATGGTTCTAATGGGAATTTTTTAAAAAAATCTTTGGATTTCACAGTTTCATGGAATTTAGAGCTGGAAGGGACTTTAGGGACGATGTAGTCCAACCCTTTTTCTTACAGAAGAAACAAGAGCTCAGAGAATTTAAATAAGTTGTTCAAGGTCATGTAGTGATGAGTCTTAAAAGTTGGAAGAAAATATTTTCCCTTAAATAGCATATCCATGTCTTTTATAATCTCTCAACATCGATATTGAGTGCTTTTGTACGTTCAGTAATGCAAGTGGAACTGAGGCAGCAAAGGTTCAGTACGTACATCCTAGAGTCACAGCTAGGACATTTTATACCTGGCGTAAAAACTCGTGTGTGTGTGTGTGTGCAGGCATACCCTGATGGGGATTGTGGTTGGGTGCAGAAGGCAGGCCCGGGAGAGAGGTGGCAAGATGACAGGACTTTGGGGGTGGCAGCTTGTGCTTTGCCGGTGGCATAGACTGAAAAGACAGGTGCAGGGACATTGCTAATAGAGGAAGTGTGCATTCTGGGAAGGAAGCACAATACCCCGAATGTCAATGCCCTGTGGCAAAACTCCATTTGCCTCATGCTAGTTATAGCACTGTCCTCTCCAAATAACTCACTCCAGGAATTATAAGAAAGCAGGTATTGATATTGGCTTGATATAATAATGATAATAATAGCAATGAGCATTTAGTGCTTTAAGGTTTGTAAAGCACGTTACAAATATGATTTCATTTGATCCTAATAACGACTCTGTGAGGCCAGTGCTATTACTATCACCTTCATTTTACAGATGAGGTAACTGAGGCACAGAGAATTTAAGTGACTTGCCTGGGGCCACACAGTTACTAAGTGTCTGAGGCTGGACTTGAACTCAGGTCTTTCTGGCTCCAGGTCCAGCACTCTACCACCTAAATGCCTCTCTTTTACTTAGGTTGTCAAGTTTTACATTATCTGTGTCTGTACATTTTTTTTTTTAGGTAACTGGGGTTAAGTGACTTGCCCAGAGTCACACAGCTAGTAAGTGTCAAGTGTTTGGTCTGAGGCTGGATTTGAACTCAGGTCCTCCTGACTTCAGGGCTGGTGCTCTACCCACTGTGTCACCTAGCTGCCTCATCTGTACATTTTTAAATGATTGATGAGCATCTGTATCAGTGCTGTCTGTGGGAGGCTGTGAACTGGTAATGGGTCTGCATGAGTAGGAGGGAACATAAAGACAGGGCGGCATATCTTCTCAGTCCCCAACTCTTTACCGTGTGTGAGTGGGTATTAAAGAGAACAAGATGGTATTTAAGAGCGTAAACTAGGGTGGGTGGCTAGGAGGTTGAGGTAGAAAGCTGAATGACCGAAACCTTCCATATCACCCTATCACATCTACCCAAAAAGTAGAAGTCCCAGGGGTGGCTAGGTGGTGCAGTGGATAGAGTACTGGCCCTGGATTCAGGGGGACCTGAGTTCAAATCTGACCTCAGACACACAACACTTACTTAGCTGTGTGACCCTGGGCAAGTCACTTAACCCCCATTGCCCAACCAACCCTCCCCCCCCAAAACACAACCAAAAAAAACAAAAGGCAGAAGTCCCTTAGGGACTGAGTCTTGTGAATAACATAGCTAGCCGGGTGAAGTCTAAAAAGATCGAGATTAACTCAGCAGCCACTGCTCTAAGTCTTGGTTTGAGTACTGATTTTTTTTTGGGGGGGTCCTCGTTAGGTTTTGGACCGATGCTTTGGAAGACGTGGAGCATCCTATGGGGGCCCTGCAAGCAGCTACCCACCTACAAAAAGCATCCAAGGGTCAGAGTCCAGGAACAGGGAGTCTCATGAAGGGCTTGAGGACTCCTGCAAGGAAAAGGGACTGCAGGAGGGAGGCTGTGCAGGCATCTGTACCCAGATGCCAATTCTATTTCAGCAGCAAAGATGGCATGTTTGAAACTGACCAAAGTGACAGGGTCATTCAGTAGAAGGAGTTTTAGCCCGGGAGTCGGGGGGTGGATGTGGGTTCTAAACCTGGATTTGCTGCGAATTAGCAGTTGCTTAGCCTCTCTGGGACTCAGTTTCCTCAGCTACAAGATGAGGGATTTGGATGAAAGCTTTAATTCTCTACATCTTGACAGGATACTCCTATTGTTGTGCCTCAGGGAACAGAATTTTGAGCAGTTTCTCTGCCCAGGCCTGTCTAACAAGCCCCGGTCCATTTCTCTGCAATTCTCTTGACAGTTATCAAGACAGAAGAGATGATAGCAGTTTAAAACTGCCCTCAGAATCTAGATACTTCAGTTCCTCTCTCCAGCCACTCAACACAGACTTTACTTATAACTTTCATTGTGACTAGAAAACCTTCCCCCTCTGATGGGAGGCTAAGTCTGGAAGATGAATGGTCAGGGCAGGCCGGGGCCGTGGTTAGTATAAGTGAAGGGTCAAAGGTAAATGGAACTGACACTCACCAGGACTAGTCTCTTCCAGAGGATCCCTGGGGGTCTCAGGCATGCATCGAGGCACGAGGCCTCAGTGCCTCAGCCATGGGGAAACTAGGCTGCTGCAGACAGCTCCTCTCCTGCCCAGGCAGTGCTGCAACTGAGGGCCCACAAGCTTTTGCCACGTTGCCACTGTTTCTCCAAGTCTTGATGTTCCAGGCTTCTCCCAACAGCGCTCACAGCTCCAGCTTCTGGCTCCTTTTGCCCAAAGAATAGTTTTCCCATCCTGTAATGGGATTGAGCTGCTTCCTTCTGGTCACGTGCCCCAGCCAATCACACACATGTGCTGGGGCTTGGGGAACATTCTCCTTTTGTTTTTTCAGTAAGTTGGAGAAAGCTTCAGTGCATGTGGCAGCCAGGCTCGTCGCCCTAGGGAAAAAGCCCGTGCGCTTCTGCATGGGTGTGTATGGAGCACTTAGTGTATATGCAGCTTTGTGTGTCTAAGTGTGTGCATGGGTCTGGGCGTGCCTGTCTGTGTTTGCCTATGTTTTCATGTGTCTGTGAGCAAATGAGGGTGGGCTTATGTGGGCGTGTACATCTGGATGGGCGTTTGCCAGGCTGAGTTAATGTGAACGAGTGGGCTTCTTATTGCCACCTCTCTTTCCCTTCTGCTGTCACACAGAGATTTAGTGTAAAGTCAAGAAGCAGAAGCGACCGACAGGGGTCCAGGAGGTCACATCTGTTTACAAAATGCCTGGCTACATGTGACATACAAGAATGACTTAGGGGGACACAGTTCTTCGAAAAGTCTTAGAATATAATGACCATTTCTCAGGGTTCATAATACGCTGGGGAATGAGTGACCAGCCTCAGGCTTTCAATGTGTTCAGTTGTTTTTAATTTTTCATTCGGCTCTTTGTGACCCTGCTTGGGTTTTTCTTGGCAGAGATACTGGAGTGGTTTGCCATTTCCTTCTCCACCTCATTTTACAGGTGAGGAAACTGAGGCAAACAGGGTTAAGTGACTTGCCCAGGGTCACAAAACTAGTAAGTGTTTGAGGCCAGATTTGAACTCAGATCTTCCTGCTCTAGGTCCTGGGCTTTATCCACTGTGCCACCTAGCTTCCCTCTAAGCTTATCAACCCACTAAAACCTTGTCTCTCCCCCAGACATCTGTTGCTGTCTCTTTGCCTATAGGGTTACTGTATATCCATCTGGTCTTGGCTTCTGTCCAAGAGAGAACTTCAACTCTAGCCCTGCTTCATCAGCTGGTTTTTGGACATTTTGAACTGGATATCTCTTAGGTTCCTCCAATTTAGATTTTCCAAAACAGAACTCATTATCATTCCCCTGAACCAAGAGTACACTGAAAAATGTTTAATAATTGAATCTAAGGAAAAAAATACAGCAAGCTTTTTGGTGAGGCAATCAGGACTAAGGGACTTGTCCAGGGTCACACAGCCAGCGTGTGTCAAGTGTCCATGGCTGGATTGGAACTCCAAGGTCAGAGTTCTATTCACTGTGTCACCTAGTTGCCCCCAGGATGCACTTTAAAGTTTAATCTACACTCATCACTTCCATAAGTTGAAACAACCAATAAAACAACACATCAAACCCTGTCTTGTAGCACTTGCCGATTTCTGTGTGTAAATGCCCACACCGCACGTTTAACAGGAGGCTCTCCCAAACCTTGTTGAAGCTGGCTTCAACCCGATCCTCCCCTAAGCCAGCCCTCTTCTGTACTTCCCTGTTTCGGCTGAGGGCGCCACCATTCTTCCAGTCTCCTAGAGTCACAATCTGTCAGTGCTAATAACATCCGACATGTGGCCGAGTCTTGTTGATTGGACCATCATGACGAGCCTCCCCTCCGCCCTTTTCATTTCACTCACATGGCCACTGCCTTGATTCAGGCCCTGATCTCTGCTCTTTTGGACTATTTCGACAGCTTTTGGATTCCATTCCCTGACTTCATTCTCTCCAAACCATCTTCCATATTGCCAGTGTGATATGCCTGGAGCACAGGTCTGCTGATGTCACTTGCCTTCTCTATAAGCTTCACACGGCTCCTGATTTGCTTTTTGGAAAAAATACAGACTCCGTTGTGTGGTATTTAAGGTCCTTTGTAACCTGTCTCCATCCCACCTTTTTGATATTATCGTACATTACACCCCTTTATACACATGATCCAGTCAAACTGGTCTTCTTGCTCTTTCTCACACACAACATTCCATCTCCTGTTTGTTCCTATTGCCCTTGTGTAACATTTAGAAACTACTAATGGGACTCAGGGGTTGGGGCACTGCACCCACTCATTCTTCATAAGGGCCCTCAGCTCCGGACTGAGGTGTATGGTCTGAGCTGGGCTTATTCTTGGGGGAAGTTGGCCTCTAATGAGAGGGGACTGGACTCACTTTTCTTAAAGGCTTTCCCTCATTAAACTCTAACTCCAGCAACTTAGGGACAAATTATTTAAAGCCTAGGTCTTGGTTCGTGTCAAAAGTCTCTTCAAAAGCTGGGGTATATAAAGGGTATTCAGTGTCCAATATGGATCAGGTATGGGATAGGTCCTACATATATAAGAAAGGTGATGGACAAGAAAGACACAGCATACATTCACAAAACAGCTTAAAATAGGAGTTAGTAACTTAACATAATGTGTAGCACGTGTTCTGGGGTTACTGTCATCCTCCCTCTCCCTTGCTCTGGCTCATTAGGTCCCCCAGAGGGTGGTTACTTTATCTCTCGGAATTCTAGGAGTAACTGTGAGGGGATTGGAATGGTTTTCTAAGGTATGAATATCCACCGATATGCTTCCCCATTTATTATCAGTTGGTATCAATTAGTTAGAATTTATTAGCTTTTAGAAATTAATATTCACTAAAGCGATATGGGGGCAGCTAGGTGGTACAGTGGATAGAGCTCTAGATCTGGAGTCAGGAAGACCTGACTTAAAATTTGACCTCAGATACTTACTAGTTGTGTGACCCTGGGTGAGTCATTTAACCCTGTTTGCCTCAGTTTCCTTATCTATAAAATGAGCTGGAGAAGGAAATGGCAAACCACTCTGGTATCTTTGTCAAGAATATGCCAAATGGGGTCACAAAGAGTCAGAAATGACTGAACATAGTAAGAACAGGGGGTAAAAAAAAAATCCCCACAAAGTCCCAGGGAAAGTGACTCAAGCTTGCAGCACATATGGCAAAGGAGAGTAAATGATCACTCCTAGAAGTCCTTTTTTCTGGAAGTCCTTTTCTCCCCTTCATGGGATTATCGTGAAGTTCCTCTTAGCTCAGGTCTATCTTTCTGCTGGCCTCCTCATCAAGTTCTGAAGCTGTCTTTCCTTGCTGTGTCTAGTTCGGCCTTCGCTCTAGAGGCCAACACCGTCACCAGTCTATGTTGTCCTGAGAATGCTACTAGGACAATGATGAGTTCCCTCTGAAGTTCACCAGGTTCTTTTCTGGTCAAGAGCAGGTTAAGAGAAAGTGGCTTCTCTTCCCTCCCTCCACTCCTAACAGCAAGTGATTCACTCTCAGGAGCATTGCTGCAACTGCTCCCTCTCACCTACTAGAGTTACGCCGGGTTCTGAACAACCCAGCCCTTTGTAGTTGATGTGCATGTTGATATTACCCTTTTTACAACCCAACTTTTATATATTTTATATATATAATATATATTTATATATATAATAGATAAATTATATATATTTATATATAATAGATATATTATATATATAATATACATTTTATATATATTATATACAACATATATTTTATATATTATATATGTAATATATATTTTCTATATATAATATATATTTTCTATATAATACGTATTTTATATGTATAATATATATTAATATATATTTTTTTATAGAAGACCCACAGGGAGTGACTAGGATATACATTAGCCAATGCTTTTGATTTATTGATTGATTGAATTAAGTTGTTCTCATCTGATGAAGACATCAGAGTTAGAGTACCTTATTCATTACTCTAAGGGTGTATGTAGAGTAATTGAATCAAGTTGACCTCCACTCTTATACCACCCTTATACTTTCTTAGAAGGTTGATACTTAAATTTTATCAGAATTTTAAGTAGTTTACAAGACTGACTGCTCTTTAGGAGTTTTACATTTCATCTTGGGTTTTCCCTGTCAAAAACAATTCTAGATCCATTTTTTCTGCTAAAATGGGGCAGATTTGGGCCTATCCTCTTGTTGGTGTTTGTCTTTTCCAAGAGTACTGGAGTGGTTGACACAGATTCTTCCTCTTGCTACCAGTCAGGTCCACACATTGGGCTCAGGACCTTTGGCTCTCTCAAACTCACAAGGTTGACTTCAAGCCTGAATATGTACCCTTTAAGAATAATGTTTGGCCACTTTAAAAAAAATACTCATTTAATTTATTTATTTTTGTTACATTTTGTGCTCTGAGCTGTCTCCTTCCCTTCCCACCCAACTCTGCACTAGAAAAGGCCAATATTTGACACAGATGTATATGTGAAACCATACAATACATGCTTCCACCTGAAGGTGAATAGCATCTTCTTTCATAAGTCTTTTGTACTTGATTTGAATATTCATATTATTCAGAATAGCTCAGAATTACTCAGAATAGCAGAATAGCTTAGTTATTCATAGTTGTACTTCAAACAATCTGGATGTTACTACATACAACATTCTCTTGGTTCTGCTCGTTTCACTCTTCATTATTGCATACAAGTGTTTCCATGTTTTTCTAAAATCAACCTGCTCATCATTTCTTCTAACACAATAGTATTCCATCACAATCATATGCCACAACTTATTCAGCCATTCCCCAATTGATGGGCATCCTCTCATTTTCCAGTTCTTTGCCACCACAAAGAGAGTTAGTATAAATATTTTAGACTATATAGATTCTTTTTCTTTTCCCGTGATCATCTTGGGAAATAGACCTCACAGTGGTATTGCAGGGTCAAAGGGCATACACAGTTTTATAACTCTTTGGGCATGATTCCAGATTGCTTTCCAATTGAGCACCTACTGAGGAGAAGAAATAGAAAGTGGAAAAGGAGGTCAAGGGAATTTTAGTGGGTTTGAGGATTTGGACTTCTTATTAGTATCCTAGCATATCTTTGGTATAGCAGTGGCTGGCCTTGAGACAGGACAGACTTGACACATTGAGGAAAGAGCTTCAGTGCTGGGCAAGAAGCACAGCAGAGAGGTACCCCATATCTAGGGGAAACTTTATGAAGGCCTTCTAATAAAAGTACTTTCAGGAAGACATGGTCTAAGAGTTGTTTGGACAGTGCAGAGCCATGGTGCAATGTAAAACTCCTACTTAGCAATCC